AGGAATAAGTCAGGTTGGGATAACCGCCGAGCATCCAAAGACAAGTCGATTTTGGCGAATGCTAAGTTTAGACAAGTCAGGTTCTAAGTTAACTCGAAGTGCGCCAGGCACTGGCGCTAGACTTCGTGCGATATGGAGACTATTTCACGGCTGATACCGCTCGTGTTGGTTGAAAATTTATTTTTAATGGACCATTATGTTCATTAAATTAATGCTGCATATATATATTCGCGTGAAATGTCGGCTTACTGACTTCACAATTCGATCTTTGTGAAGTCAGTGCGACAGCTACGGGCGTTTGTTTCCTATATAGGCAACACATCCTCCCAAAACACCCATGTACTCATGTAATGATGACGAATCGTGGATATGAAGGAGACCGATGCGAAATTGTGTTCGCGGCACAGCAAATCCCACAACGTTATGAATCCAATTTCCATTCTAAGGTGACAAAATGGATACCGAATTATGCCCGTGGAGAGACCTCTGCGCTCGGTGATTAGAACTGCTCACAGGCCAGCACCCCAGCACCGATTGGCGACCCTCAAGCAGAAAATGTTGCGAGGCAGTCCGGGAAAGGACAAGCCGAGAGCATGTGACGTGTGGCTGAACGTCAGCCACACACCGTTACGCCTATTTTCATACGAACTTAATCCTTTCATATATATTCTAGACAGTTAGCGTCTAGATAAAATAATAATCATTCTCGCTCTTTGCTCTTGACCATCATCCGTATCAACAAAATTTAACCATGTACATGATGCAGTCTCATTTTTCCGAGCTTCTGGACTTCGCATATTAGCCTACTTATTGGCCATAAGTGGGATGTCTGAATTTCTTTTCGTAGTTATCATCAATAGGGATATTCAGCAAATTATTTTCATACGAGAGGCATGTCTTCCTTCCCAGTGTCTGTCCTTCCCTTATGGTCTCCGATCGAAGTGGCTGAGGGACCAGTGCAAACGCGGAAGCAGATACGCGTGGGACGTGGTTGCGTCGCCACTGGCGCGGCAGGGCGCGGTCAGTACAATAAGTTCGCCGCTACTAATCCGAGTCTACTTGGGGGAAAACTTGACGTAAAAGACCGATTGTTTCGTACATGGCCTAAGTACAACGACTTCCGCCATGGTTGTGGCTCGACATAATGTGCGCAGAGCTCGCTGTAACGATGTTGGTGTAAAAAATCGTATGCTCTGCGCACCAACTTATCCTGTATCGAGCTTCAAGTGCTAGCTGACATGTTAAGTCCGGGAAATGTAGAACATGACGAGTGCGTATCTTTAACCGAGGTGTGTTTCCTTGGTTCTGTTGTTACTGTTTTGTGAATTAAGTGACAATATCCTTCGATGCGCGAGGATTCCAGGAAAGAAGTTTGTCTTCCACTCAGGAGGAAAAGTAAAATAGTAGTGGTATATCTTTTCCATTTCTGTTTTAATCAAGCGGAGTGGGGCCAGATTGAAGAAACTACCGAAAACCTGGGGCCGTTTGTTTCTGCCGAATAATTGCCGTCAATACTCGCGAAAAATGATGTCGAAGCCCGGCACGGGAACTGAGATCTTGTCTCAAGAAGCTTTTACTAACCGGGGTCGATTGCTCTCGGTGTGCAAAATGGGACTTTTGCACTGACATTGAAATACATTTTAGGATATGATTCAACTTGGGGGCTACTTTTTCGATGTCCCGCAGATGCTTCATCGCTTTTAGCGAGCAAATTCTTGCAGGCCGAATGTAAACGAGGTGCGTACTTCTACGGCTTCTGCATTGATCACATCATATGTAGCCGAGCTTTCCGGCGCTCCGTATGCTGTCGTGATAACCGCAGCGCAAGCACACGTACAAGTTGAGTGCCCATAAAATACTCGTAGATACATATACAACGTTCTCACCAAAGTACAATGTCTATGGGATGGTTTACCCATTCTACATGCCAACAATTGGTCTCTGAGACCGTCGCAAAATCTGAAGTGGCGCCGGCGCCGATCTCATCAGTTGCGCCTGTTCTGTCGTCGCTCAGCGGTGATGTGGTCTGACTTGTGCAGGTCCCTCCGCGTGGTACACTCGATGTGCTGCGGTAGTGCCTTTCGTCTGCGTAATGCAGAGTTGGCATCAGTGTCCTTCATTGAACCCGCGATACGACATGTTTTCGGAAAGTAGTAGGGTAGTCTGGACTGTACCCTGGTCCGAGGGCTCCTTTGCTTTAGATGCAGATCTTTACAGCTCGCTGTGATGTTTTAATTTAAGTCGACCCAGAGCCAGGGGTTTACTCTTCTGTCAGAGGGAGGTCCATAAGCTTCGAGGTTATTTTCTGCACTGAATTGATTCATGTAGGGATACCATCCCAGGCTCGGCAATAATCCCATGGTCGACGTGGAGCCCAGACGCTCGGTCTTTAGCCACGCCTACAGGCTGATTAAAGCCTTGTGCAGCTCCTCTTCCCCCCGGTTTTTGCAGCTCTTATTTATGCACATAATCCCTCAGTCATGCGAGCGCATCGTCCGACATCGCACGATGTTCTCCGCCAGCGTTGGAATTTCTTGTGTTTATGCTCCGTGATTTGGATATACATAGTCAGAAGCAGGACCGAAGACACTCCTCTGGAGAAGCCTATGCAATTTTGAGCGCAATCAGAAGAGGTACGCATCCCGTACCGTCTTTGTAATCTTAGCTAAAATCAGGGGAAAATATACTCCGCGACTCCCACATGCGCTGGCACTGTAAACATGATGGAAGGACATTCTGCCGCGTGAGTGTTTTGGGGTGAGCACGCTCCTTCCATCGTCTTTCCTTCTAGGCGCAAGAATCAAAAGCTCATACTCAAATTTGGGGAAGCACGCCTCATGGATAACCTTCAGGCTTCCAGACAACGTAGGAACTCTCCCCTCGTTTTACTGTTCCGAACGCTTGGAACGATTTTGCCTTGCCAACTCGACCGAGCGCTTCGGACGCAAAGACTGATATTGGATTCGAGACTTGTATCTGGATACCTCACCTCGTGCTATCTTGTGGCACGCGCTACGCCGATGCTCCTATGGTCCATTATTACCATGTGACCTAAGAAGAACGGTAGCGCATCAAACAACATCTCCATAAACACCATTCAGCTCCATCGCTCAAATATCGGCAGTTGCGTAAACAATTAGATGGGACACAAGGTTCAAGACCAAAATGGGGACGTAGGTGGTAGTCCGATCCGGGACGACACGGATCCGACATCGAGAGACCTTACAGAACAGTCCGCGGTACCGGGAGTGTCGGCTAATAATTCCCAGGAGATTCATCTCGGTTCCGTGGCAAGGGGAATTGAAAGAACAAGACGGGGTATGTAAAAACACAGCCGACTGTAGGTAAACTCGCGACATACAGTCGGAGGAATGCCGCATAGTGTTGTTTGACGCTGGGGCCCGTGCGGTACCTATCAATATTCCAGAATATTTTGCAGGGTGATGCCAGAGGTGCTGAAAGCACGTTGACGGATCGGTAGAAATAGCTCTTGCGCAGCTAGGGTGCGTAACTCAGATCGGACCAGCAGACGGCCAATGCGACACACAAACTTTGAGGCTGATCGAGAATTTCGCTGACAGATATTATCAACTCTATACGCAACAGCAATAGCCCAGGACATCATGGCAGACGGAGACAAGGCGGTACAACGAGGCAAGGCGGTACAAAGGTTAATTGAAAACATCTGGTGAAACAATGGCAATGCAATGTCCTTTACAAGCGCGTAACACGCTGCCGACGACGTTGGGGAAATTTCAAAGCGGACGTGGAGGATTCTAAATCATTTCGTGCCATCAGGTATGCAGTGCTGCTGGGGGGAGGGGACACGCACCATGTCATGATCCTTAGGCAAAGTACGAGAGGGATGGTTATCATCGAGCAACATGTAGGCAAATACTGGAGAAAGGCCAACTCTACGAAATCCCACCTATGGTGCACAGGATGGTAGATATTAGCTCGAGCGTTTCAACCAGTGGCCTAGATACTCACTTTTCGCACAAAGGCCAGGTTGCGCTGGAGGAGCTGTTCTTCCGTGGCACTCCCGCGCAGGTCGGGATTTATGCGGGGAACTGATGGCCAAGTCAGTATATATTTTACCCCCTAATACCAGCAGATGCCGATACGTTCATTTGAATGTGAGCGCCGGCCTGACTATATTGACATCTGAGATTCTGGGCTTACCTCTGCACGCAATTGTTCGAACAGGCGCTGCACCGCCCACGAGGCAATTCCACGGCGACGAATCGCGTCCTCTATCACGAGGTAGTCGCCGGGGAAAGGGTTGTCGCAGCAGTCGAGCAGAGCGAACTTAGTTTTTTTGGCGCTGAGTTCTGGGCCAAAGATTCTGGTGCCAGACTGGACCCCAATGCGCCATGTTTCCCGTAGCGTTCCATCGGCGTTAAAGAGGAAGCTGCTTAGGGACTCGAGTTGCTAGAGGTCGTTTGTTAGATCTATCGCGGCATTGCAATTGGCGAGTGATCTATACCTGCCCTCCCATGCCAGATGACTCGAGTTCTTCATGGAAATCATCAATGTAATTTCCATTGACTAGGCGGTAGGTGAGTTGACCGATCTGTCTTTCTTCCACACAGAGATCAAGTTTGACTTTGAAGTACTGTGAAATTGTAAGCCAGCCATTAGTCGCTGAGATGAAGATCCCACCCTAAGCCAAGGGTCGAACAAGTTTCGTGTCTCTCTTTGAATATTGAAACCAACCCGGCAAACTCGTAGTCGGACACTACCGTCCTCTGAGAAGACTTCATGCTCGATAGGATGGCTTTCCCAGATTTTAGGAAAGCTGGGTAGATCCGATACCTCGACGTTGACGGTCTGCTGTTCTAGTTAGTCGGTACTATCAGGAGCCAAAACGTCTAATGACACGCACTGGAGAAGAACTGGTTGTGGACATGGTGAGCGATAAGTTCATGTAGCGGAAGCCAACAGATGCTGTGAGCCCGAATGCTTTTATACGCCACGATTAAGACGTAGAGGACCCACAGTGAAAATTTAGGAGTACGGTGATCACTGTGATTACGCTAACAAGTGGCACCAGTCCCTGCTTGTGCGCTCGAGGGCCTAGCCATAAGCATGCTTCGCCGCATTTCTTACTTACGATTCTGTGGTCGATCAGAAACGAGTTGAAGCACCCGCGAATTTGATTGGTGCCTTGTATTTTACTGGTTAATTATGTTGCCGCGGCCGGCGCTACCGAATAATCAATTTCACCTTTATGGAGCGTCAATTGTGGTCGAGAACAATCTCCCCCCTTATGGATTTGTCTTTATATTGTCGGTATGCGAACTGCGTTTGTTCACGACCATTTGTCCCATACAAATCCATCGGGCACTTTTCTAAAGCTGCCAGCATGCTCTCGGCCCTAACGCAGGTCCAAGGGCATCCAGCTGGGTCGTTTTCATACGATATGCATCTTGGTGGAAGGGTCAACTCATGGAGACTCGATAATGGACATAGCAATCACAGCTTGGAATTAGGCAACCGTTTGTTTTCCACTCCCGCTCAGCTAATTTTGGAGGAGGAAGGAGAAGAACGGATACAGATCATACTTTGACGTTCGATACAGACGCGGATATCAGCTCATTTCAAATGAGGCTCATGTTTGACCAAAGATCTCGGGTTCAACGCCCTTGCTTTCCGTGGCTCATGCACTCCACAGACATTTGCAAGTCACGTAGATGGCGGGCGGTGGATGTAGTGGCGGACCGTAGCGGCAAGCCGGTGGGCTGGCAAAAGCCACCATGTGAGTTGCATGTGAACGTTGTTCGTGTGACCCCATAATCACTTGACCCGTTCTGTTCAGGGATACGCGTGCTATGAAGCCTTCGAAAGGGGACAAAGTCCTTATTGAACCTGGGCTCCGTCACAATTTCGCCTTCTCGCTGACCTTGATTCATCCTAGCACGGCAGTCGAGGATTGCCCTTTGCCCCTATAGGATACACCTGCTCGTGCTCTCCGGTAGCACATCGGGCTAGCAAGCGTCACACGGAAAGAACTTTATTTCAGTTGTCATGTGAGGCCGAATCCTCGACAAATTCAGTGCGCGAGCTGAACATTGATTCCGTTCTCCAGACGATTAAAACCCTCAAGGCTGTATCACAATGAGCCAGATACCCTTCCAACTTACGGGGTTAGACCCTTCGTCTACCTGGCAGCCGCTCCCCTCCCAAGGTGCTTGTAGATATGCCATTCAGGCGCTCAACTAGGGTCCTGATCCTCGTGTCCTTTATCTGTCGGGTAATCTCAGCCCCCCCTGGTTTTCCGGCCAGCGGCAATGGGCTATGGTACATATCTCCGGGCCAGGCCGACGGCTGGGCAACGGAATGGCTCCCAATCGGCAATGGTTATGTCGCAGGTGGGCTAGCCAGTCCTGATCTTCCCTTCCAGAGACATCATAGATCTGATCGGACTGGCGCTATAGCCTCGATGCCTGGAGAGACAATGCAGGAAACGATGCACGTAAACATTGAATCTTTATGGTCTGGTGGACCTATGCAAGATCCGGTATGTCCGTCAGTTCTGTTATCGACAGACGGACGCTGTAGCCCGCTTCACAAGAGGACCTTTCCGTTTCGGACTACTCCCAGCTTCTATGTTGACATTCTTCATAGTCATACAATGGAGGCAACCAATTGCCTTCCCAACAAGGCGCGATGGCGCAAGACATGCAAGCATATCGCCAGGCAATCTTTGCAAGTTCGAATGGGACCATCAATAGTAAGTGTTGACCATATTTCATGCAGCCCAGTTAGTTGATGGGAGACATTAGACATTGAAGAGCTCATGACCCCTCCGGGGGCATATGGTGCGAAACTTTGGTGAACAGCGTTTGGCCGTCCTGTTGACCAACTTATAGGGTCGTATGCTGCGGCGCCATCTTTACTGACCACTATGGACTTGAATGGATTGACAACAGATTACTTCCGCTGGCTTGACTTGGACGAGGCGGTTGCGCGAACGATGTGGACAGAGGGCGATGTCACTTATATTCGGTAAGGATCATCTATGTGAAAGAGTCGCTATGCCTAGTGACGATATCTCATGCACATATTTACCAGCGAACAATTTTGTTCTCAACCTGCCCAGGCCTGTGTTCAATACGTAAATACCACAGATGGAAGCCAACTGCCCTCTCTGACGTACGCATTCTCCATCGTGATCGACGCAGGCCTACCAGTGCCGAACATCACTTGCCTTGATGATGACACGCTCATGGTGACAGGTCTAGTAAATGATCCAGGCATGGCCTATGAAGTGCTCGCACGCGTGCGCACCTCGAATGGTGCCTCTACCTCATGTGCTCCATCTGGCGGCAACGCGACGTTGAGCGTTGCAAATACCGAAGAAGCATGGATCACCTGGGTCGGAGGGACTAATTATGATATGTACGCCGGGACTGCTACCGAAGGGTTTTCTTTTGCAGGCCCAGACCCGCACGCGGCGCTCGTCCCCTTGTTGGATGCTGCGACTGCATCATCGGTTTCGTACAGATCACTTCTGGCCACACACACAGCGGACTATGCTGCCGTAATGGCACCGTTTTCATTGTCGCTCGGACAGACACCGGACTTTTCAACACCGACGGACCAGCTGAAGGCGGCTTATGAGACGAATGTTGGAAACTCATACCTAGAGTGGGTGCTGTTCAATTATGGGCGATACCTACTCGCGGGAAGCTCGCGTGGGGATCTACCTCCAAATTTACAAGGAAAGTGGGTGGAAACATGGAGCAATCCATGGGGTGCCGGTGAGTTTATCTCGAAGCGATCGTTCTTCTATTACACTAATACGTCGATTGTCTTAACAAATAGACTATCGTAAGCGTATTTCCCGCTCCAGATTTTGTCCTAGATTTCCGAGTGCTGTTATTCCTAGATTCCAACATCAACATTCAGATGAACCATTGGTTTGCGGAGATGACCAACATGGACGTCATGCTTCCCCTCTTCAACTATATTGAGGTAGATAGTAATTTTCTCGCTCATCAAATGTAACTTATCTTTCTGCGAATGTCAGAACACTTGGGCCCCACGCGGCGCAGAAACGGCGCAGATTCTTTATAACATCTCCCGCGGTTGGGTGACTCATGACGAGGTGTGTATCCTAACCAAATGAGCACGTCCTTTTGCGATGTATTCACAAAATGCTACAGATGAATGTATGTCATATCCGGTCTCTGTGTTGGATTGGGACTACAGACTTCGTAGATTTTCGGCCACACCGGTATGAAATTGGACGGGAATTCTGCCCAGTGGGCTGATTACCCTGGTGCGTAAGCCTCGAATGTATACGGTATATTATGTGCTTATTTATTCGTATAGAATCTGCCGTTTGGATGGTATATTTTCCATAATACTTCATTCCGACTTAATCATGTAACTGGTAATGGACACAGATGATTCATGTCTGGGACCACTTCGACTACACCAATAACATCACGTGGTTTAGAGAACAAGGGTGGCCGCTTTTAAAGGTAAACTGCTGTGTTACGAACACATAGGAGCCTGAATAACTTACATCAGACCGACATATAGAGCGTTGCGGAATTCCACTTGGACAAACTCATTCCGGATTTGCATTTTAATGACTCTACGCTCGTCACTAACCCTTGTAATTCCCCAGAGCAGGTACCCATCACATTCGGTATGTAATATTGACAACGATATCATGTCTCAAGAGATGTACTAACGGAAAGATAGGGTGTGCACACGCGCAGCAGCTTATTTGGCAGTTGTTCAACTCTATTGAAAAAGGCTATGCGTTATCTGGCGACACGGATACTGCGTTTTTGGAGGGTGTGTTCATCAACTTTTCGTTCGGAAAGAGATCTAATGACCCAATCAGAGGTCAAGGAAAGGCGAGAACAAATGGACAAGGGCATTCACATTGGTTGGTGGGGCCAACTGCAGGGTAGGTTCTACATATACCTCGTCGACCGCAGTTGTTTATAAGATAGATAACGTTAACTGTTTAATTCGTTAGAATGGAAGGTCGACATGGATTCGCCCACGGACACACATCGCCACCTCTCTCACCTCATTGGACTCTACCCGGGCTACGCGATTACGTCTTACAATCCGTCGATTCAGAACGGTAGTCTGTATGGATACAACAAAAGCGACGTACTTGCTGCCGCGGAGATTAGTCTTTTCCATCGTGGCAATGGGACCGGTCCGGACGCAGATTCTGGATGGGAGAAGGTTTGGCGGGCAGCTTGTTGGGCCCAGCTGACAAATGCAAGCGAGTTTTACTTTGAGCTTTCGGTAGGTTCCTTATATGCATGTATCTTCCACTCGTGATCTCACTCAGGACATCATCGCTTAGTATGCTGTTGAACGCAACTTCGCCGGCAACTTGCTCGATCAGTATACGCCTAACACAGGGCCCGATGGCGTCTTCCAAATCGACGCTAACTTCGGGTATCCCGCCGCATTGCTGGTAAGTATTAACGCAGGCCTCGAACTTGTTGATATACAAAGTATCCACATCCTTGCAGAATGGCCTCCTCCAGGCACCCGATGTTGCCTCATATTCCACGCCCCTTGTCATCACCATACTCCCAGCATTGCCGGATGTATGGCCGTCCGGATATATCAAGGGTGCACGAACCAGAGGAGGCATGACGCTGGATTTAGCGTGGGAACATGGAAAGCCGACCTCGGTCAACATTGTGGTTGATCAGAATGTACAAGCACGGCCCGTTCAGATCGTTTATAATGGTAATGTCCTGGCTACGTTCACGACGTCAGGAGGCATCACCAAAGCTATCGGACTCAACTAGCAGCGTTCAATTTTTGTATCGTTGGTATCCAGACAGACATGAATAACGAACATTTTATATGGCATTTCTCAAGGATTTTACGAAATCTAAGGTCACTGCGTAGACTGTTGCAATCAGGAAGTTGAAAGAGCGTCGGAATGAGTGCCACCTTGTGATTTCGGACCGAAACTAGTATGACGCGTGTAAGCGCCCATACTCGACCTGTCGGCTGTCGCCTCTCTAGCTCATAGTATCCTGCTCAACGTCAGCCGTCTATCGTCTTATAAGCATTCTCTCTGGTCCCATAAAACGGCAAGATATTCTAGATCATGGCGTCGAGACCACTGAACGACGATGAGGTCCTCACGGAGATGAACAAAATGGTTTATATCCCCCCGAGTTAACGATGGGGAGGCAATTGATTACCATTCTTATTCATAGGTTGCATTCATCAAGCAGGAAGCCATGGAGAAAGCACGAGAAATAAGGGTCAAAGCAGACGAGGAGTTCGCCATTGAGAAAGTGGGCCTGCGATGACTTGTAGTCTTGCTGTGCGGGGTCACTCAATCATAACCTCTAGGCTAAACTCGTGAAGCAAGAACAGCAAGCCATAGATGCTCAATACGAGAAGAAGCGGAAGGGCGCAGAGGTTGCTCAGAAGATGTATATATCTTCGTGTCTGATCTCCCCTTACGCGACTAACAGGTTGATTTACCAGTACCCAATCGACCCTGACGAACAAGTCGCGATTGAAATTGCTTCAGCAACGTGAAGAACATTTGCAAGATCTCTTCAACACCTCTCGCACCCAGATCGTTGAGCTTGCTGCGGACGAAGGGCGTTATTTGCAGTTCCTCCAGGGCGTGATCGTGCAAGGATTCTTGCAGTTGCTCGAGTCGGAGGTCACGGTTCACGCGCGAGAGAAGGATGTCGAGATTGCGCAGCGAGCAGTAGAAGAAGCATCCAAGCAGTACACTGAGATCAGTGGCCGGACTGTGACGGGAATAGTTGAGGCAACATTGAGTGGTGATATGTACGTTTTATCTTGCTCAAATTGTACTCTATTGGATTGAGTTTTGATATTTGTTTTCCATCCAAAGCGCTGGTGGTGTCAAACTGCAGAGCGGGAACCGGCGCATCACTTTGGATAATACGTTAGACGAGAGACTGCGTTTACTGGAGAATAGCGTGAGTGCAGATTTACTCAACGAATATTGTTATATGAACGGCTCTCGCAGATGCTCCCTGAGATTCGGAACAATCTCTTCGGTCCCAACTCCAACCGAAAATTCTACTCGTGATATACCAAACCTTATTGGTCGAAGCCTTATAAGTGTCATGTACATACGACACATAATAGCCCTGAGCTCAACTGCACTGTGTGACTTCTTATTCTTATGAGTACACACGGCAGGCTTCTCTTTAGTTGGCTACATCAAAATGCTTCCACGCCGGATATTCTTCCCGAACTTTCCTGAGGTGCATCAAGGCGACTCATTAAATGTGAACGAAGCAGAGTAGATATATATCTGCTCAAGCTCGGGTTTGTAATATCACCACTAGCGTCACAGAAAATATTTCCAATCCAGGAAAGGTTGGGAACGACGCATTGCTCGCTTTAATTGAGCCGGTGATCTTGCCTGTTGTATGCGGAACTTTCACAGATGCATGTAGGCTAGAGGTGAGTATCAATTCATAAAGTAGAATCTGCGCACGTCCCAAGAACGTTAACGACTCCGGAGAGAACGCTGTAACTTAAACCTGCAATGCAGTGGCGAAAGCAAAAGGCCTGCTGCGACCGAACGTGATTCAGGTCCGCTTTACTTGGTTCATTGAAAACTGTCAGCGCAGACGCTGTCTTCCTCAGAAATAAATGTTCAATGTTGTGCAGAACCATGAATAATTTTATTACAATGCCCACGTAAGGTGCATGTCGCCGTCGTGCTCGCTCTTCTTGATTCCAAGATCTTGGTCAATTGCCATTCTCTCAGACTGGGAGTACGCAGCAATCTTCACGTCGTGACAGATGGCGGAACGTTCGAACGATCGTCAGAGTCTCGCGAGATAGACGTGTAGAGATGATGTATCACGCATAAGACTTGTTTATGAGAAGTACAATATCAAAGGTCGTCTAGGACGCCATGCCTCAATTCGTTCAACTATCCCTGACATATAAAACCTCTCGCTATATATCCCCAAAATTCGCTGCTCCAGGCTGTTGAGGTTCAGCGGCGATCAGACCAAGCGTAGAAAGACCCATTTTTCAACACTCTGCCGATCGTCATGAGATCAACTGTTATCCAAGTCAGTATTTTTTAGCTGTGCAGCCGGTCCGGACCCCACTCACACAATACTGAATATTTATATAGCTCTATACATTGTTACGATCATTGGGAGTTGTGGGCCTTTCTTGATTTCGCTCCGCACAACGGGTCTCCGCACGAGGGTTGATCGATGTGTGATGTCGTCTGCGGGCACGGCTAGCTCAAATACGAAAGCACGGATTAGAGTGAAGAGTAAGGCCTTCATCCTGCACAGGTGCACATCAGGTAGATGCTAACAAGCCGACCATAAATTGGCTTACTCAACAATGGAGAAGCGATAGCCAACGCAGGCATGTGGCCCACTCATGAAGGTCATCAAATTGCTCCACGCGCCCGGGATGGACTGAGCACTCTCGGGAATAGATTCCCATCGTTCCGGGCTAGGAAATATCTTAGCATGATGGGCCAAGTACACTAATTCGGCCAACGCACTTGAATTGGTGCGCATCTTGACCCCACAGCACTTTGGACCGGTTTAGAGCGAGGAGAGGAATGTCGAGTGGTGTGCCCTTCTTAATCCTGCGTAACAGCGTAAGACACTGGCAGAGCGCTGACAATCGTGACATACCTTATACTGTACTGTACTTGCCCGCTAGTATCAATGAACGGAACTTTGAGAGGTATTACATCGTCCTCCATTGCGGTCCGAAGTGTGGCGGGGACAGGTGCATAGAGGCGCAGTGTCTCCCGAACTACCGCATCGAGATATGGGAGGGCGTTGAGAACGTCCATAGTTGGAGTTTCAGTAGGTACTTCCAACAGCTCAGCCCGTAGTCTGTCCTGCACTGCAGACGCCTTTCCGAGTGCATACAATGCCCACGCTGTTGAATTATTCGTGGTATCATGTCCCGCCACGAGAAACCTAGTACAGAAGCGAATGTCAATGCGTGTCGGGCATTATCGAATTTAGGTAACAGACGTAGGAATTTCTAGCAACAGTCTCGTCAGATTATTTCGAAATATAATGTATTCGAGAAAAAGAAACGCACGGGCCATCACATCGTCGTCGGTCAGCCTGTGGTGTTCGGGCACATCATCTGTCAGGTTAGCCTCGAGTAGTACCGTTAACAAGTCACGACTGCGTGAGCTTTTCGAGTAATTCCCATCCGCCATCGCGGCCGCAATCTCGGCCTTCTTTTGTTGAATGAGCTGCATGCCAATACGCCTCATGGCGGCCTTAGCCTTCTTGACCCGTCCCAGACGTTGAGTGGGCTTCAAAAGATGATGGTCATTTGGTATACAAGTAACAAGACCGAAAAACACACTAGGTAGCGAACAGGAGGAACAAAGTATCTCAAGATTGGGTATATAGACGGTTTCCCCGTTGATGGGCCGATCATTGCTGCGAATGCCTGGTTGAATTCGTTAGGAGGTTCGTCTACTTTCAACGCAGACAGGTCATAATCGAATCCTATTTTAAATGAAAGTGTATGTTAGAATTTTCCCCAAGGTAAGACACTAAACCGACCAGCTAAGCCAATAACGTCAAGGGTCATCTTCGTCAACCCGATATGAACGTCCAAGCGAGCGCGCTCGCCCAGCACTGAAATTTCTTCGTTCCATATATCTCGTAGCTATACCGCTTAGTGTGATAGTTATAGATAAAGAATGTATATACCTGAATGGCCTTCTCTATAAAAATTCCAGTCACATCGCGAATCTGCGCGGCGCCAAACGCAGCGTTCTATCGTAAAATATGAGAAATGTCATGAACATGGGAGAATATGTTAAGAAATACCGCAATTCTTCTCTGTTCACACAATTGAGCACACGCAAGTTCTAAACGCTTGAAATCATTCAAATATAGTCAAGGTTGCTCACCTGTCTGCGATGATGTTCACCTATAGAAAGTGTCCCTCAGAAGACATTATTCAGCAGAGAACATCTGTCTCACCTTCAACAGCTAATAAACCTATACGGATGGAGATGAGCTCAACAAGTAGAATGTATAACTTCAAAATCCATACCCTTCTCTACTACCTCAGCGACCAAGAACTGTACCATCTTAGGCTTCTGATAGATATTTGGGTGGTTCAGAATGTGAGCCAGAGCTTTCGTGTCCATGGTATACAATCGGTCTTCCTATCACCAAGGTATGTCAGCCTGTGCTGAAACGGCGAGCGCAAGATACGCACATTGAACCATCCTTTAGACCTAATTGTACTCCCATATCTTTCGACCCAGTCCTCATGCAGTTCCGTATTACCTTTGTGGTAGATTTGGAACAAGTTGCCATACAAGAAGCTAGGGTTGCGAGGGCCAGGTAATGAGCGCAGTGACGAGAAGCGAGGCTTGACAAAGAGCACATAGGCTACCCAACATAGCAGCACGACAAACAGCCTGCTGAGAAGGGGATAAACCAGATGTTCAGCGATGGTACTCATCTAATTCGACTCAAGCGTTTGATGATGAAACGCGGTCCATTAAATAGGTATCATGACCATGGCGTGGTAGAGCGTGGATTTGAGCTTCGAAGCGGGAGTAGCTAGTCTCAGTCTCCATCTTCTAGACCCCATACCCGTCGAGTGTGGACAGTGACATGACAGATGCGGACCTGATAGTATACATTCCGAGCCGTCTCATGTCCGATCACTAAGAAGCGGGCAAACTTGGGAACTTGTACTCGTCTAGTTTACCTATAGCGTCCACAATCCACGCCAGGAATATTACTACTCATGCAAAGCAGTCCTTCAAATGGTGATTAGAAACGTTGTAGACTAGCTGAGGCCGCATGGATGCCACCATCACTTGCGCAGCACTCAGCGCTCAGCGTTCAATCTCAATCCCGCTGAAAGGCACCGACACAACGGAAAACACTCACCGAAGTGACCACTAATACAAGGTCTCGAACATGTCAAATCCTTGTGAAGACCGCCCAGCCAGCCAACATACGGCTAGCATGCATCATGTAATAGGCTCATACCAGGAAAGCTTCAGCGGAAGCAGCGCTAGAACTGCCCGAGTCCTCTCACACGACACGATATACCGACAAGATATGATGGGGAGAGGAAGATAACGTCTGTATCTGTTTTTTCAGGCGGCGTCGGCCAAGTAGGTTTGTTTAAGTAGCATCATGTCAGACGAGTCACTCGAACACGATCCCCGCCCCAAGTAGTAATGATCGCTGAGCGCCTACTACCGTAGGTCAACTTCGGGAAATGGCCCGCGAAATGGCCCAAGCCTTTCCTCAAGCTCTGTACATTCCTCCTAATTCGCACTTTCATATCATCATATTTTGCTCTAGTATTACATATGATGCTTGATGACGAATAACAACACTTGCATGATTTAGGAGAGTACAACCCGAACTAAGTATATATTGATACATGGTGCACAAAGCGCACATGCAAGACACCAGAAAATACCATGATTTAGTAATCTCTGTGCCTTATGGCTCTAAAAACAAAAGATGATACAGTAGTAGGAGGAGCGGGAGGAGCAGAAGGAGCAGGAAGATATAGTAGTTCAAAGCATCTTCCGAGCTCGCACCTGCACCGTGAGAGACCCAGCCATTGTCACGGTAAATGCGTCCGTCATTTGCGGCTCTGCACGCAAAGCGTGCATAAATATCTCCTTCTCATAAGGGACTAATAGATAAAAGGCAGAATCTCAACCAACACGCGACGAACTCATACGCAGCTAGCTGAGCTGCAGGACTAGGAAAAAAAAACTTGCAGTTTGTATCAATATCTTGATGTCTCAAATGCGGTGACCAACAACGTACCACAGTCGAGGTCCTGTGCCAAACCTGTTCAAATGAGGAGGAGCTGGCTTCACGAAATGGCCCTTGGAGTCAAGATGTCTTCCAGGAGTAAAACGCCATGTCTGAATATCGAAGTTCACGAAGAGTAATAAACAGTTGCAACGTACTTCTTCATCCTGCATCATATGATAATCTGACCACAAGATGTAATCACCTTTATCGATTTTGACTGCGGGTAGACCAAGCTTGGGCAACGCAGGAGGCATATCATCGCATAACGCAAGACGTGCATTCTTAGGGAATCCGGGCCAAAGCTGTACTGTCTCGTAGAAAGTTGTCAGATGTTTGTGATAGCGCTATGAAGATTTCAAGAAACAATGTTAGCAGAGGTACGGTCATCAAGCATATCAGGATTGGAGTGTTCGGACTCACAGACATCTCTTCGAACGCTGGTGCAGTCAAATGGCCTCCGTTCGCTGCGGTTTCTTCCCTAAGTTGATCCATCCAATCTGGTTCAGCAAGCATGGCATGAAGGCTCCATCCAAGATAATTTTCTCGCCCCGCAAACAGTAGCGTCAGCAACACATTACGGACTACATGAGAATCAGTGTTACTAGAGTCGCTTAGAATCTCGGAGAGGTAATCAGGAAGTAGGATAGATGCAGCGTCCTGCATCTGTGTCGAGAGTGAAAGTCGACTTGCAGAATATTGCGAGAGCGATCCGGCTAGCAAGATCTATATATTTTGCGTCAGGTTGAGGTCAAAACGACACTTCTGTTCATACCATTCCAATCGACAGATATCCCCTTTTCGGCCACATCAATGAGTAGGGCTCTCGCGGTGGGCACGATCTGGTAACCACAATCTAAGTCATCAACAGATCGAGTATCGGGCCTCTAGGACTAACCTCTGCCATACCCTGGCGAACGTGATCGTTACAGGATTTCCGACCGAACAAGGGTCTGGAATTGACACGTCTATTGAACGTCCTGCAGACGAATCAAAAATATTTCTTACGACATCATTCTCCAAGCCGCCCTCCATTCTGTGCCTTCTGAAGCTACTGGAATTCCTTCACCTGGAAACTGGCCGAACATCTCGATAGCTATTGGACCCCTGCTGTATTTGCTTACATCACCTTTGGGAGAGACGATTTGACTATGGAAATTGATACATACCGTAGCATCTTACTTTATTTCACATACTTGAGCTACCCGGGCCTGCCTATCAATATACCGCGACCCCAGTTCGGCATTGTGAATGTGCACACAGGGCCAAACTGTTTCAGCCAGCCTTGCATCCACGAAATAATTGTCCGTGTGCGAATAGAGGACTTGTGAATTACCGATGAGGGGATGGCCTTTGGGACCAGGCAAATCGGGGCGCGCACGTGTCCCAATGTATTGATTCGGGTAGACGATCCAGAGTAGTGCTATCGCCAACGAACCGACGATGGCCGTAATCGTAGAGAAATCAGAGGTGAGTGAGGTGAAGGCCTTATAGTCGGCGTCCAAGATATACGGCACTCACCGGTGACACTATCGTCATGTATCGCTGGCTGCGTCGACGTAAAGTTTAGTGACGCCTTCACAAGGCTCACATAGCTTTGACTCGACAACCCAGGTATCAATGCGTATTCTCTGGCCACAACGACCGAGCCTGACATAGTGTCGTCACTATTTGAAACTTAGGTTGGAAATGCCAAATACTCACGCTAACAACCATCGAGTCCCTAGCTCTGGACCGACTGCGGCATGTGCTCATCTCAATCATCCCTGAGCTCAGCCTACACAGGACTCATCGTAACACAACAAAGACGGACGAAAAGACCGACGCAATCCCGCCAAGGACTCTCGCACTGGCACTGTGTTCGCTCACAGTGTGCAGATCTAACAGTATTGGGAGGAATCACTTGTTCGATCACCTGCGATGATCAGGCCCCGACGACCTAGTGCTTCAGAAGATAAGACAACGGAGTCGACATCGCAGCTTATACCATATAAGTCCACTGTATTTATAGAATCCTAAGGTGAGAGACATACGACCGATATCTCATCAGAGTATGATGGACATTGGGTGGCACTGACTCGGACAGACCGATATGATTGAAGGAGGGGGAAAACAGGCCGCACTTCAAGTTAGTCCACCTGTCAAGTTAGGGAAGTGGCACTAGCAGGTGTGACGCTCGTATTCAATTGACATCACGTCCCTCAGATTTTCGAAGAGTCCGGGCTCCAGCCTGAGCGCCATCTTGGCGGGATCCATAATATTAATTTCATGGATGCGAGGAACAATCGGACATGAGATTTCTCACCATCTATTCATTTTGGCAGGTGGTCCCTCGCGCTGCGATCTTGGTGTGCCTTGAATAACGCACTGGCAGTACTGGGCATTGCGCTTTTGATGTTTCAAATTTCAGAACGCTCAGACGGCCTGGCAAGAGTAATTACTGAATCAGCCGTACTTAAGTTGATCAAAATTTCCCCGACTGTACTAGTACCTGTTACGGTATACTGATCTCGCATGGAGGAGATATCTTCGGCAGGGACCTGGAGTTCCTAATAATTGACAGTTATTAGATGTTTCTCAGGTTTTACCTGCTATGATGATGACGGAAATATAACAAACAAGCTACAAATTTGTCGTCGTCGGTGAAAATATCATACACGATCAATCTACGGTCTCTGCCAATATATTCACAATGGCCTCCAGTCATCAGCAAAACCGTAATCAAAGGATCAAGGCTTGACAATACGTCGCTGGGAATGCCGTGAGTCGCCACAGTCGCAGCTTACGACGTCAGATTGGTTTTAAGCTGCCCGAGCACGAAATACACGATCAAACATTGAAATGTTTTCGGAAACAAGGTGTCAGATTGCTCACAGTATATGGGGCACTGGAGGAAGACCTTACACGCTTGCAACCCCGCTTAGGGCTCGCCTATACATTGGGCATCGAATGCTATCTACTAAGGGCGTAGACTACTCTCGAGGCAGCTGGGCTTGATGCCATCCCAGCATTTAGGTGCCGTCATGTGCTGAAAGGCAGTATAGATTTCCAGAGACCGCTTCCCCTTTGTTCCGAGGTGTCAGACTTTCCATGCCATTCGCATCGCCCCAAGCCCCGAGAACAAGATAATAGAACACAATAAGAACATCATAGTATTCAGAGAATTTGCAAGCCAGAAGCTTACGTATCAAGTGCGTGAGATTACATGCGTAGTTCGAAAATTTGCGAAGCTCTTACCTTTTGACCAACCCCAAACCGTCCTCAGTGCAGAAAGGCAGACCATATAATTCATGAGGTTGTCAGGGCAAGGTCTATGATCACACGATCACCATTACCTTTGACCCTCACTAAAAATTTGATATGTTTAGTTGTTCGGCTAGGGCGGGTGATAATGTTTACCTTGGGCTTCCTTGCCCTGACTCCCGTGATGTATTCAAGCTCTGAGGAAGTATGCGAATGCGAGCTTCTGGTGCTCGATTATACCAGCCAATATCGATAAAGATAATCTTGAATCGGTCCCATGTCGTCAATATATGCTCCGAACAATGGTATCATATATACCCTTGAGCGTATTAGACCGACCTGACGTAATGAGAGAATAGTAAGAACTTTACAAGAAGGCGTTGAACGTTCCGACAGCAGAGGACTCGGATACACGCTGACCCAGCCTAAGAGCGCTCGGCGTTTGATCGTCAGCATATCTTGCGCGTGTACAAGTATTGTACAGATCTTGTCTCTTGAGATTCGTACATCTCAGGGTGACTCAAGGATATGTGGGTACTCACAGAAGCCATAGCCATTACTATCCCATAATAAGAAAAACCTTTCAGTCAACTCAGTAGAGGCAATGACTAGTGGTCGAGTATGACAGCAATAGCTCGAGACAACCACGACTGACGATAAACATCCCACGGTATCGACGAAACGGCCACTCGGCTCAAGCTTTTCATCTCTTCGGTATCAGATTCCTCGAGTACACCAATTAGACTCCCAAGTCGCCACCGTGCCGCGGGCGGAAGGCGCTGTCCGGATTAATTAGTGACCACCATCACACTCGCTGGTCCTATCGGCGCTGCGGCTGGACTCAAGTCTCCTTTGCTCGGCTCCTTTAACACCACCAGCGAAGATGCTGTCCTCTTCCCCTGGATGGACATCGAACGTCTCGCAAGCTGAGCTCCTTGTCACCCGCGCATGCAGCCCTCACTTGCAGGAACCCAACTATGCCCTGCATCTTGAGGTTGCAGAATACATCAACCAGAAGAAGGCCAATACGTGAGTGTGGTGTCTTCTTGTTCAGTTCAAACCTCATCTGATTCTAATTAGACCGCGTGAGGCGGCTATGATGATCGCAAGAATTGTGAACAACCGCAATCCCCATGTGGCTATGCTCGCACTCGCGCTTCTTGAGACCCTTGTTCAGTCCTGCGGATACCCATTCCACCTACAGATCGCGACAAAGGAATTTCTGAACGAGCTTGTTCGTCGATTTCCCGAACGACCACCTCCCTTCCCTGGCCCCGTCATGTCTAGGATACTAGATTTGATCAATGATTGGAAGGAGGGTATTGCGGCGGAGTCGAGATGGAAGGAAGATTTAGGGAATGTACGCGACATGCATCGTCTGCTTACATTCAAGGGCTATCGGTTCCGTGACCGACCACGACCGCCGCCGATTGCATCTGCATCTGTGAGTGCTGCACTTTGTTTCAGCGTTCATGTGTCTCTTTCCCCGACCATCCGAGTTACATGTATTTTCGTGCGTTGCCTAGCAACTCCACCCTCAGCTATGAGAATTATGCCGACGACATGGGTGTTTGATCAAATAATTTTGGGAAATCTAGGCGGTCTGAGCATGATCTTCTTTAAATCAATGTAGCTGGGAATATATTGTTGTAGGGGAATTTCCGAACTTCCGACTTCGTGGTACTACTTCCAAGATATTCAGCTGCTCACACCAATACTTACAGAATCTCAAATCCGCTGAAGAGCTCGAACAAGAAGATCGTGTAGCACAAGAGGCGAAGTTACAAGAGCTCATCCGGCGCGGTACACCTCGGGACCTCGCCGCAGCGCAAGAGCTCATGAAAACTCTCGCAGGTGCAAATCCAGATGCGAAGCCGGACTACCGCACCCAGTCGCTCACAGAGCTGAACAAGCTCGAAAGTAAGGTGATTCTGCTGAACGAGATCCTCGACAACGTGGACACAACGCGGGGAGAGAAATTTGTGAAGGGCGACGTGTACGATGTGAGTTCGCTGCACGACCCCATCTGTATCTTGCGTTAATAGCTGTAATGCATTTTGCTAGCAAGTTGCCTCCATTCTCACAGAGGCGCGACCGAAGATTCAGGGATGGATTTCCAATGCAGAAACTGACGATCCAGAGTCACTGGGTATGCTGTACCAATTCATGTCTTCAACGATAGACTCCTTACTATCGTTCTCAGATACATTCTTGCAAATCAACGATCAGCTTAACTCGGTGCTCAACCGATACGAGTGCTACAAAAACGGTGATTATGCCGCGGCCTCGAATCCCATCCCTCCCGAACTCGGCGGCGGACGACCAAATGACTTGTCGTTGATCGACTTCGACGATTCTTCAGAAAGTGCGAATATCGGCGCAAACAGCTCATCTGGCGTGAGTGGCCATGCAACGTCAATAGATGAACTTGCGAGCCTCTTTGGGCCATCGGCTCAGCCTGTAAGCGGTGCGCACCCACAATCGATGGGTATGAGGGAAACGGGAGGGGAGTTTGGGATGAGAATGGGCTCCGGTATGGGAATGGGTACAGGCATGGGTATGAACATGAGTGCGCCTGCACCTTCAAACATGACCATCAATGGCTTCACCTCTGGCATGGGCATGGGAACTAGAGTGGGTGCAGGCCCGTCCCCAGCTCTCAATCAGGCTACTCGTCCGGTCACAGCGTCGCCACATCAGGACACCCAGCTAGGCATGATACGAATAGGTACTCCCCAGGCACAGCTGGCGTCTGGGTCAGGACCTTTGACTCCTATATCGACCCAGACGCAGATGCCGAACTACTATAGCTCATCTTCCGCTTCGCCTGCGATAGGCATGGGGACGGGTTCGGGCGCACGGATGGGTGGGATGGGCATGACGGGGCAGTCTGGGATGCAGCCGATACAGCCCCAGCAAATATTTGGCCAGCAACAACGACCTACGAACGTCGCTAGCAATCCTACCGGCGGGACACAGGGGAAAGATCCTTTTGCAGATCTAGTCGGACTGTTCTAGGAATATCTCTAAGAGATGGAATCATGTACAGCTCGTTAGTATTAGGGTGTGTTCTGTCGTCTTGAGGACTTCATGGATGTAGGTGTAGGAGGTGATCTTCTCGTTGAGTTGCTTTCTCTTGACTATTTGCCAAGACCGATCTAATGTATGCTGCGCAGTGAGAGATACTATTGGTATACGTGCAGATGGGTAGAGGACACAACTGCGACCATCGTTCAGTATCAATCTACATATGCGTGCTCCAAAAGAAACGCGTCCCCTAATTCCATTGCCAAGAATATCCCTGAAACCACCTTACGATAGGTGTGTAACTTATGTGCTAGCGGATACTGGTAAGGCAGACTTGAATACTTCTGTGTGAGTGTCGGGTCTGCGTCCACCTGGACAACCAGTCGTTATTTGATGAATACCACGAATTTCCCTGTGCGCTGGAGCAAACGTTCTGGGAATAGCCATTCACAGTTGTTGAATACATGGAAGGGTTCTTCGAAATAATATTCATGCTACTCCGACTGGCAAAATCAAGTCTCGGACGGACGGTTCCAGCCAAACGGGTGGGATTAGTCAAGCTGATCAGATGACTTTCGCTTCACTCTCTTATCCGAATAATAACAAATCTACACCAGCATCAGTGATCTCCCCGCTCGACTGTTCTGCCCATAGAGGATATTTCACGAATCCAAGACGTCAGTAAGATATTCTACATCTAGACTCAATCTTCTGGAGGGAAAGGCATCCCATCCCTATGAGCGACAGCGAGATGAGCGTGTAAGCTATCCAACTCTCATCATTGATGTCCAATCTTAGAGAAGATAATACTCTGAGTGGAATCCCTGCTTCAGTGCATTCCATACCCCCTTTCACGGACCGGACCATTCAGATATTGACATCATTTCTCCTATCCCACACTACTGCTATTAGCAAATAGTCTGCAATCCATATCCATTGTATAGTGCATCTGTATAATATCATCGGTGAGGTCAATCAGAAATGTGCCGTCTTGTCAATCAGCAATCGTATCGACCAACAAAATGGGTCTGTTGGCCATCTACTTCGCCTGAGGGGAGATACCTTTAATGATATCCGCCAGCGCTCCGCCAGCGCAACAACAACCGTACATGTGTGCCCCGACACCTAATCAAGAAAGACAGATGCATCAATAACACGCAAACCACCATGAACGCGAAGCTGCAGGTCAACCGCGCTCTCCCTAGGAACGGGGCCCATTTTCACCGTCCTACAAAAATCAATTACGAACAAATGGCACTCACCGGGTGCCATGCCGTCTGTACATGTTTGCGCATCCATGTCTTCAGATCTTCACCTGAAACCTGTAGGGGCGCATCCAACAAACTGGCTCAATGAACTAGGAGATGTCTGCTCACTGTGTCGGGTTGACATCGCTCGGCCAATATGGGTCGAAGTCGTTGTTTGCGTCTTGAAGTACCAGGGAAGAGGCGAGCGGTTCGGTACGCGCGAGGCGGATGATCAGCCGCATCGACTTCAAGATATTCCGACCGCCCTCAGTGGCAAGATAGCTGAAGACGTCCACGGCCAGTCAGGCTTTCCCAATATCAAACCCGGACGACATACTTCGGGTTAATGAGCGGCTTGTCCCAGATTCTGGTTGATTGTAGGCGTACCGTACCACGGCTTTCCGGCTGTAGAAGGATTGGCTCCTAGAGTAATACGTACTTAGCTACGCTTGGTTGATCAAACGGCCATATAGGAAACAACACACAATTGTGACACCATTAGCTGGAGGAATCACAACTTCACTCTCAATGACGGCCATGGGACATGTTACAACTTCAACATCAGGCGCGTTTGGCCCTGAGGTGTGGTCAGCAGAAGGCGGGACAGTGCCTCTTGAAGGGACGCTGAAAGGAAGTCTGAGAGTTTGAGAAGCATTCAAATATCAGTATGACCCATCTACATGTGCAGATTATGAGTGCCCACCTTTCGTCATCGGAACGGATAAACAAACCAATTTGGCTGAGCAGCGAAGACATTGGACCTGAACCAAACATCAGCCACTGTAGAAGAGCCCATGCGGCAAACGCAGGGCGGTACAGGAAGTCAAGCGTCATGCCGGGCTTGGCCCTAGAAATCATTGCGCCAACGGATAGATGCTATGACGAAATCCGATAAGTACACATAGGAAAAGAAAATGCTTGACCTTAAAAATCTCACGTCCAACAAGTTCGAGCCGACTGTGGGGCTGTCATACACGACAGGAACGCCTATCTCCGCTAAGTACGCCACAGGCCCGATTCCAGAGACCATGAGAAGATGTGGCGAACCCACAGCACCCGCGCATACAATCACCTCCTTGTCTGCACGCACATGGAAATGAGGATATTATTTCCGGACGCGATTTGCATGCCCATCGCACGAGCGACGCCGCCGCTATTGGTGGTGAAAAGGATCTGCTCTGTGATGATGTCCGATTGGGTCGTTTGAGCACCTCTTGATCGAGATATGCAATGGTCGCAGAGCTTCCTGTATACTTGAGTCCGTTTCAAGATCTCGTACAACCACGCACGCTGATTCCTGCCGTCGATAGCACCGATAAATGGCCCCACTCCGAGCGCGCCTTCCTCGGTGTTGAAGTCGCTGCAGCAATCATGTATTGGCACCAAAGCGGACGGCAAACGGCTGGGATGCTTACTTTGTGCAAGATACACCAAGATTAACGGATGCCTCGAGGATCACATTCGACATAGGCCATATGTTATCGTCAGAAAGTAGTATTATGAACCCTCATTATAGCACCCACAGCTACAGGTGACACTCGCATCTTCACAGGACCAGAATCACCGCGTAATGTCTTGTCAACGTTGAGGTCTGGATGCGGGTCGAAATTCTCCGCTTTCCGCAAGTACCTATATACGCATTAGATGATACATTTGTGAGGCGAGAAAGACCGCCGAACTGTTTCATGATATTGTAGCCCCAACCTGTGGCACCCTGTTTCTCCCAGGCATCGAAATCTCCATGTAAATTAGCAGAGCAGCTGTGTGCGACTATTGTACCACCAACCTTCTGGAGCACAATGGTGGAAAATGAGGGCGTTGATGGCACTAAAGCCAATTTGCACTCGGCATGCAGTCGGATTGCAGCAGGAACACACCTACTACCACCAAGTATGCGTCCTCTAGCCCACGCAATTCGGCGACCATCGAGCTTGGTTTGAGGTCTACGCACTTGCAGCTAGAACTAATACTACTATTTCACATATATCGACGGAGCTAACGTTGTCTCAAAAGTCGAATTCCGTCTTGAAAAGTTTGGTCAACCCAGCGGGCACTCGGCTCATCAGTACGTTCTCGTGACTCAATGTATTCTTTCGCGAGGCCTTCAAGGAGAGCAATGATCATTTTTCCTACCTTTTTCCAGCTTCGACCAGCAAGACTGTCACGTTCGGATCGTCTGACAATTTCGACGCGAGCACGCAGCCCGCCGTCTCTGCCAGCGCAAGACAACGTGTATCAATAGGGAAGCACGAGGAGGATACTCAGATGTTTATAGATAGCTCACCTCCACCTACGATAACATAATCGAAGCCTTCGGTATGTCTCCCTGCTTTACTTACGTCGTCCGTCGACAAAGACGCAAATGCGGCAGGATCCGAAACTACCAACTTTTGACGAGGTGAGTCCCATATTCAGAGACCTCACTCAAATACAGATGGCTGAAGCCTGCAAGAGCGAAGATTGAAGAAAGCACGATGACTTCTCGAAGAACCTAAGATGGAGTTGAAGTAATTTTTTCAGATTTTCAGCTTTAAACGCCGTTGAGACCACTGATGGCATCTCAAACTTACCACAGATAGCAATCACAGGCGTGACTGGCCAGTGCTGAGCGAATCTTGCTCGGGTCGAAACCGATTCATTTCAAATACGACAGTTCGGTCCACTGGGGGCCCCTCCAGATGGATGCGCGCGTCGTGCGCCACATTTACGCCCGTTTTGGCTAGTCTATCTTCCAAGGAACTGCCGGATGAGGATCCAGAGCTTACCCACATCTAAGATGTCACCGAATACCACCGTCCTAATCACTTGTTCTGATTATGGCCGCAGTCCGGAAATTTTGGTTCCAAAATTCCTACAGGAAGTCATCTAATTGACGGACGCCGCTGTGCATAGCGGTTTGGACACAATCAAGAAGCCAAGGACGTGGCAGAAAGACCACCAGAAATGCCACGAGTGTAATCATACCCAGACACGATGAGGTCTTTCATCTCATCTGCCAAGTGACCGAGCGAGCCGCTTCCTTGGTCAGATGCTGGCTAGTGTCGACGGCTCAGTTGATCGCAGCAATATCCCTTCACGCTATCCCGCCTCATAGAGACAAGTACATCCTGCCACGTGCAGTGTCCATGTTCTGCTACCGTGTTTGATGGTATCGCTTACCGGGTTGTCCTTGCGGCGATACTGGACGTGAATACAATAGAAACACGTTGGCTGCGAGAAGGAAGAAATAGTGATGAGGTAGACTAGGTCATAGCACCAGCGTACGGTTTGTCTCGGGGAAGGTGAGGATAAAGACCAATACCATCAATACCGGATCGAGAATCAAAACGTGATCTTCAACGAGAAAATACTGTTCATATACCCTAGCGATTGCATACAACGAGCATAGAATCCTGTAAAGTGCATGAGAGTTCATCAAAGCAGATTCGAAAACAAATACATAAATGATGACGATGAACCATCGACAGGGATTTCCACACGAAACCAGCCGTGCAGAAACGAGACGGATGCAGAATGTTCAGCCAGCGAACTACCAACCCCGACCACTCCATGACCCAGCAATCTGATCGAACGGAATCGGTCCCTCGACCCAACGCCGACTACGGCCCTGCCCACTAAGCCCAGCGCTGGCAGACACACCAACACAAACCTTCTGACCCTTGGTCGACTTCCCGGAATGCTTGGACGGCTTGTTCCGCGTTTTGTCACTTGAGGTTGAAATGCCGATGCAGAGATTCTCAAGCCCCCTTTCCAACCCATGCTCATCTGGGCTGTCCACCACGTAAACGGCGTCCCGGTACGAGTCTCGCTTCCTATCTTGCACGAAACTTGATGTCCGCACGGACTGCTCTTGTGCTTCGTGGCGTGTGCGAAGTGGAGGGCTCGGTAGTGCACCTTCGGGGATCGCGGGCAAAGCCTTAGAAAAAGGCAGTTTATGATCTGAAGATGGTGTCGTGAGCAACGGTGATTCCTCGTCATCAGAGTCGACGTCCGAGACGGAAGGAGGAAAGACGAGCTCTATGGGAATGCCCTCGCCAAGCTTGCGCGTAAGTCTGCGCATCTTGCGCATCCGCAGAGATGCCTCCGAGGCGATATCGAACGTTGGAGCTGTGGGCGAGTCAGGGAAACTGCGTTCTGCTTCAGTAGCGAACAATGCCTCTGGCATCGAAGTAGGTGTTGTGTCTGCAGGGAAAAGTTTGAGGAGAGGTGGGCGCTGAGCGGGATGATATGGGGTTCGCCACGCCCGTTCGCTATCGACAGAATGGATGCTATTCTTGGAGGAAGAACGAGACGAGCGAGAAGAGCTGGGACGGGGCGATGCAGGTGAAGAAGAGCGCTCGCCCTCACTGTTCTCATCAATTTGAGGAAGTGACTTCGCCCGTGTATGACTCTTAAGGGAATTGCTACGCAATATATCGTCTGAGCGACGAGCAGGGATATTCACATGCAAGGGCACTGTACATGGACATACTAAGAGACTGGACAGCATAGTAAGTCAAAGCTGCTTACCCGATTGAAGAGAGAAGTCTACAATATGGGGCGTACTCCCGAGTACTTGCCCAAGCTTCTTGTTGGATCGCATAAGCTGTGCGCGCTGCTCTGCTGTTAAGTTATTGCGGGTAGGCGGAGGAGGCGGGAAGCGTATGATCGAATGAGACATCGATAGATATTAAGTACGAAGACAGTATAGAGTAGAGGTATTAACGACGCGTCGAAGAGCACAAGAGAGGAGGAATAGAGACGGGCGCAAGCCTGACGAGGACGCAGCTAGGACCTCTTGGGTCTACGATGGAGACTTGCAGAGCATGATGGGATATACATACTTTCAAAACAAAAGTCTACGTTAGGCAGGTCGGAATCGCGCCGGAATCCCACCACGGTCCGCATGCTGCCGCACGTAATCGAATCGCGGGGTATCCATACGGAAACAAAAAGAGCAAACGTCACTTAGCAAGAAATGGTGATCCACTTTACCACATGAGCATATCGCTTTTGTGTGTCACACGTAGCTCATGATCCCCCATTGTCCTTCAGACGCCCTTGCAATGGAAGCGACACGGCGGAACAATAGGGGTAGCCAGATGCTGGCAGCACGGGTAGTGCGGAATTGAATTGACGCTGCAAGCTGCAAGCAGAGGCAGAACAAGTTGCTCACTGTTCAGTGAGCTCCGGAGGAAGGAATGATGAGAGATCATCGATCAGGGAGAGTGTAGAAGACTCTCGAAAGGGATTACTTACAGGTTATCTGTTTACTTAACCTATTACTGAAAGGTACGCGGAATGCGCAGAAATAAAAAGTATCAGAGTGTATTCTAGCGTATTATACCTTTCCCTGACTTTGAAAGCGGAAAACTCGAATTTTCATGGTATCATGACGCGGTGGCAATGTGAAACAGCCGCCAGTGAGACCGTCAGCTGCGACGACTAGCCATCCTCTCTACCTGTGTCTGCGCTCCTGTTCTAACTGCCATTGGTATATGCTTAGATTTTCCCTACTCTGCACGGTTGAGTAGATCTCCACCAGTTTTTTTGTACTCGTGTCGCCCAAGTGTCGCACGGACGTGCTGCGCTTTCCTCGGCATCGAGTTTCGAGGTTGGGAAGCCGTTGACATTGCTATCGACCCGCCGTCATGATGTTTCGGTCAGCTACGAAGAGGATTGCCCACAGCTCTACGCTGCCTGCGCTTGGAGGCAATAAGGATCTGCGCACGTTACAAGACCTCATCATAGCCGAGAAGGCAGTGCTCAATTCGTACGTATCGCTAAGGTACTTGCCGCAGCAGTTTGACTAATCCGTCCCTTGCAGGTTACAGAAGCTGAGCATAGACATTACAAAAGCATCGGAAGCATTGAGGACATGGGGCTCGGGAGAGGGTGACGATCTCGGGGTGAGTGGCCCTATTATGCTCGTATCCTTGATCTTCTGACCGTGTTGGAAGGACGTCCTGATTGCCTCATGCGCCATGTCTCAATACTTTGCGGATGCTCTCGTAGCATATGCCAACCACGAGATGTCCGTGCGAGACCATATGAAATCTGTTCGCACGCGAGAGGAACGACTTGACGACTTGCGTCGTCGTCGCAAGTCTGTCGCTGCGGATGCGGAATCGGCGGAGCGAAAGCTCGGCAAGATGGGTCCCGATAACAAGAACTTGCAGACGCAAACCGATCTTCTCAACAAGCTCCGAGACGAAATTCGTATCATGGATACGGACATCATGGCGGAGGAAGCAAGCCTGGGCGACTACAAGCGCTCTAGTGCAAAGGCTTGGATGGGTTTGAAGTTCGGTGGGTTGGTTGAGTGTTCGGAAAAAGGCACTGTGCGTACGGCATTGCGGGACACAAGAAACCCGTATTGATTCTTGTGCAGATTGTAGGCGAGTTTGGCAAGCTCGCCATCATGGTGCGTTTCTGTGCGTTTCACTGGCTATATGTGTATGATAATGCGTTTTCAGGAAATTCCAATGGAGACCACAGAGCCCGGCCTGCCTCGAGCATATTACCAGGGGCATGCAAGGACAGATTCCTTAGTGTCCGAAGCACGAAGGGCCCTCAACCAAGTGGTCTTCTCACCTGATCCCAAGCCCGAGAATCTGCGTCAAATCGGGCGCGGATTTCCTAGCCCGGAGTTGCCTGCTGTTCCCCCATACGATCCGAGGCAATCCATAATAACCCAGTTTCCTCTAGGAGGCGAAAGCAGCCGGCGAGCGTCCATGTCGATGTCGTCCATGTCAATGCCACCAGGGGATGACAAGCAATGGGAGACTACATCTGCGCGGAACAGTCAGGTGCTTAGGTCACCGCAGCTCTCGACATATTCTGCAATTCCCCAACCATCATCTCCTTTCGCCCAAGCTAGTCGCCAGTCTCTCGTACACGAGCCTTCGCAATCGCCACAAGTGCCTTTGGCGGCGCCACCCCCAGAGGATGCAGACGAGTTTGGTGTAGCCTTGTCGGATCCCTACGGTCCCCGCGTGAGCTCTCTGAGAGGGACAGATGACCGAGAGAAGGCGAGCGGTCCGCGAGGCACCCGATTTGCAACGTTCCCTGTGAAAGCG